TTCTTCTCCTGCAGGAATGAATGGTTCGAATGGATCGTCGTGAGACCACGAAAAGAGGAAATGAAACAGATTGTGAAAAGTATATGTGTATTATAAAAAGTTAAGATGTAAGGAGGACATGTAAGGGAGCTAAATATGAAACTGGCTGTCGAATCCGCCCTGGATCCGCCTGTGCATGTAAAATTCAAATTAGATCACAAAATAGCGCATCTTCTAGCCTGCTAACTAACTTTTGTGTTGCCCTGTTCGAGATATGCTGATCCATCAGCCTGTGAACAGATTCCCAAATTATAGTTCAAATTTCGTATTTGATGAGGCCTGCGGCCATCCTGACGATAGCCATGCTCCGAAATAATATTCATTGTTACCTGCAAAATACCATGCAGTTTGCATGACAAGCAGGAACAAACAATACGCAAAATAGTTTAAAAACGCGAGGAAAAAAGAAAGCAGGTGAGATAAAGCACTGGGAAGAAGGAACTCGAAAAAGTTCGGCCTGACAACCAGAAGTAAAAAGCTGACAATTGGTCCACCGGCGCCCAGACATTGTTGTCTTCGACAACGGGGTCCAGGAAATACTTGTGTTTGAGGTAAGCGTCGCCCATGCTACCGGTCTCGAGAGTCAGCGAAGGCTCAAAATTAACCGGTGTATGGTTAACTCCACCCTAATGGAGGACGAAACACGACCTCTCCATCCCCCGGGAGTTAACTCTGTAGCCGACCTAAACAGCCAGTACGGACGTAAAGTGACTTTCGTGCCAGTAGAAGTGGGAATATGTGGAAAACACCTGGCAGCCATCAAACAGGACCTTCGCGGGGCACTGCGGGCCAAATCTGAAAGTGTGGGCGGGATGCTAGAACGATTGTCGAGGTCCGCGGCAATCGGGACATCGCGAATTATCAAAGTACACTTCGCTCATGAATAAGTATGGTCGGACACAGCGATACTGGATGCGATTAGGAGGACTGCAACTTGGTCATGACTGCAGCCTGCTTGTATGGCCAATAAAGAATTTTCTTGAAAAGCTGAATTATAATATCCTCCCTCACCATAATTCTACCCTGTCTTCAACTTCTTCCTCCAAGCAAGGCCTTATATACTTAATTCTTTTATGACTCCCTGTAGTCTAAAGTAGCACCCCGGCCTTTATCCCCTCCTGGTACCACCATTATCGCCAGTGGCTCCCCAACCTAGCCGAGTTTGACTAGGTTAGGCGCCTTACAAATATCTACAGACAAAAAAAGTTTGATATTGCCAAACTAGAACGCTGCGTTCTAAGATTTTGCTCCAGGAACCGACCAGTGCCTAGCAAATTCATCTAACCCGATGATGTAGGAATTAAAAAACCTATTTAGTAAATTATTTTCATGAACGCTGCCTCCTAATAACTACATAGAATTACTACCCATATCACATGTTAGTTTCCTTCTTTTCCGTCTGTTCTACCACTGTTATTGCTTTCATGCTATTACACTTTCTCTCCCCCTCTCTCTCTATTTTTCTTTCACTTATCCTTCTTGCAAATTAGTTATATGCCCTTTCAATACATGGCGGGTAGAAGGTTGTATTGACGATTCCCACTCCTACCCGCATGCATTGTTCGGTCTGTGTATACAGCTAAGGGATGAAACACAGAGACTGCATCGTGAAATGTCTTCTTATATATGACACCTAATTCCAATCTTCTTACTCCACTATTCAGTAAATGCCGAAAATCAGCTATATAATCTCAATTACTTTGTTCCGTTGCTTGGCTTTTCTTCCTTCTTCTGTGCTTGCTCAAAAGAAATTAGCATTAAGCGTTGGTTTGATCGCATATGCTTATCGATACCTGCAAAAGCACGCGATTTACCAGAAAAAATAGTGAAAAAGTTATCCATATCTGTGCAAAAGTGTGGCTGCAACCCCTAACTTTCATCGGTATAGAAGAGCATACAATTACGGCAGTGTAATGGAAGTCCTGCGAAAAGCCGGTAAAAGGTGTGGCAATTCGTTGCATTTTACAGCAATATCAGCAGGACAAAGTGGAATGTATGTTACTGGAATAAAGAGAAATTAGATGTTTTCCAACTGCTATGTGAAGCAACAAAGACTGATGCCGTTCTGAGGTTGGCCGGGGAACCTACTAACAAAATCTTGGCGCTGGAACTTGCTTGGTTGCCGAACTGAAATGCCCGGACAGACGCACACACACACACACACGTACAAACACACACACATATATGTAACACACAACACACACACACTCAGGGTCGTCACAAATGCGTTTGTGCAATTTGCATATAGGCAAAAACGCATAAAAACGACCGTTCAGTGGAAAGTGTTCATTTTCCTTTACTAATTTACGGTGACTTGCTGCAATGAGTACGCATTTTAAATGTAAAGCAATAACCATTTATAGAGTTAATGACCTGACTGCTTCAAAATTACCACAAAAACGCACCCCAGCAAACCTTATTTGGTATGGT